TGTCAACGTGACTTTCTGGCTCACCTATGGTACTACAAGAACCATGTTGGCTCCCAGCCAACATCTTACCCCCATGGTTCTTCTCTTTCCCAGAGAGCCATTTCTCTGTGCCCATCCCCAAAGGAAGTGTCACTGACAACTGCACACACATGATCGAAGCGTGAGTCCTCATTTCAGAAATTCCATGTATTGTTTCAAAGAAGGAGTGGTGAATGTCCTCAGATCAAATATCAGATCTGGACAACGTTTCTGAAAGCTGGAAAGTAGGGTTTCAAGTGGAGTGAGACTTAGAACTCACATGGCAAGCACAGCGTCTGATGTGCAGTGGGTGGGATTAAGTTTGGAGGGCAGTCCGTCTCTTCAGTTATGGAAGATCCTGGTCCTATTTTAACCCCTGACTTGATTCTACACCAAGATCCATGCTCCAGGAATGTGTTACTTCCCATGGCTCAGCAACTTGGGTTATTCAGAGAGTACTCAAGAGCCAAGTCCAATCTGGCCACCATTAGGGTCCCTGCCTGCTTGCAGAGACAGTCTACCCTGTTAAACATTAGTCTTCCATTTGTATTCCTAAATCAGTGGAGAGTTTAATTACGAAAAGCTAATGTGCTCTCGTGAACATGCACATCATCTCCATAAGCAGAAACAGTTATAGTGGATCTTGTTCTTAGAAACGTTGAAGTGTGAACAAAAGGAACCTTCAGCCATTTGAAAACACACAGGCCTGCAGTGCTTTGTGTGGCTACCTGATTCAAGGTTATGTTGTTATGTTATGATATGTTGTTATGTTATGTTGATGGTTTCATGGAGAAACATTTACGATAGAAGCAAATACAATATCAAAAATAATAGAAACAAACCTATGCATCATCGATTTGAATATGATTTGAACGATAGAATAAAATCACTAACTTCTGCTCTCCAGCCAAAAAGATTAAGTAGATCCAGATGTCACAGAAATAAATCCAAATGTTGACATCACATCTTAAAAGCAATAATTATTTGATCTTGAAAAGATATATGGTGATGTATCAGATAGTTTAATACATTGAGAAGAGATGTTGGTTTTGTGTAGGAAGAAGTAAATGAGACAAATGCTTGTGTGCTATCAGGAACTTAAATCAGCTCCCCAATAGCTTGTCATTTTTGTCTCACTGAGAGTTTTTCAGTACATTCTTTTTCCATAGCATCAAGTTTTCCAATGAGAGTCTACAGTTATGAAGTGGCAAGAATAATAACAAAGGGAACACACCTCTGATCCTAACTTTATGCTAATACAATTCTTAGAAAACTAACTCCATGGATCTGGAGAGGCAGACCCATGGTTCAGAGAAGCATTTGCTGCTCAGCCATAAGAACAGGGTTCGAATTCCAGCACACACATTATGAGGCTCATAACTGCCTATAACTGCAATTCGAAAGAATCAGAAGCCCTCTCCTGACATCTGGGGGCACTTGCACATATATGTGTGCATATATTCATACAGACACAGGCACATATAGACAGACAGACAGACAGACAGACAGACAGACACACACACACACACACACACACACACACACACAAACTGACTCCACACTTGTTTATTAGCAAGACCCTTTAAAACATGTAGGTCTCCCTGCCCTGTCCATTTGGATATTTCTCCAATATGGGAGCCATCTCTCTGAAACATTTGTCATCCCGCTGACTGCCAAAGTCAATTTGCATGTTCAGGAGGGCCTCTTTTATGTATATATATTTCTGATTACCTGTCTCTTCTCACTCAAAAAAGTGTTGCTATACATGAGCAAAAATTGTGAAAATCATATTACCTAAGCCTAAAATTAGGATATTCACAGTCTGAGAAGAATGATTACAAGTAAGCCTTCAACAAGGTATAAACTTTGAGCTGTCTGGAGGGTCAGGGTGGATGACCGTTAGTCTGAAGGCGTCAGTAGCCTCAAGTCCAAGGGCACTCATTAAATGCTAATGTCTGCCTAGCACTTTCTAGTCCAGAGCATTCATTCTATCTTCAAGCAACTGTTACATTAGCATAAGTGAGAATTCAGTGTATTTATAGTTTGTGAGATATTTTATTATTTATATTTTTTAAATATTCAAATGAAGACAACATTCCATATCTTTAGAAGTCCATGTAAGCACAGAGATCAGGAATTCTCAGTTGATGTCACCATCTTTGGTCCCTAGAGACCGTGGAGAACTCCTGAAGCCCGTTGACTGCAGAGACCAACGTAAGCATGGAGAATACTCCAACAGGCATGCTCATCTCCTGTCTGTAAGGCACAGAACACCCCTGAATGTGACTTCTCACAAAGGCCCATACTGTTAGGAAGCTTTGAGTGGAAGTGGCTTTGAAGGAGCTCAGTCATGGCTTCTTCTGGAGATCCACAGCACACAAAGAGGGTGGGCAGAGCATGAAGTCGTGGCCACAGCTCTCAGGAGCCACAGTGTTCAGCCCTGCCTCAGCCTGTTTTCCGTTGCCAATGATACTATACCATGGACCAGGCACATTACAATTTTTAAAAAGAAGGTTTATTTGGGCTCCTGGTTCTTGTCTGAGGTCAGGGCCTGCATCTTTCAATGACTATTTTGTTAGGTATGTCTGGAGGGGGAACATAGTGTCACATGGAAAGAATCAGGGAGTGCACACACATCTGGGTCTCCTCTGCTCTCTCTCCTTCTGCTAAAGCCACCAGGAATCAGTTGTGGAGGCTGTAGTCTCGTAACCTTACCTCATCCTAGTCACTTCCCAAAGGCCCTACCTTTAAATACCATATTCAATTAGTTTCTACCCAATGGGGATGGGAATTCAACACAGGAAGCCTTGGGTCTTGTCACTGAAACCATATCCAAGCCACAGCAAGCCCAGCTCTCTAAGCACAGTGTAAGTAAAAGAAGATGGTGTGTCAGGACAGACACAGTATGGAGGACTGGCAAGTCAGATAAAGCCAGACCCAGAGAGACAAAGCTGGAGATGGTTGTTTTCTAAAACTGAGCTGTTAGTGTCCTACACAACAGCCAGCAACACCATAACCAGCAGACAATTTTGTAAGAAAGACATTTCTAAGAAAATAGGCTGTGACAAGGTTTTCAGAATACCTTATTATTATGTTTGTTTTTTCAAAAACTCTTACTAATGATATTAGTATATACACTTAGTCATATCTTAAAAGCTATTTCATTAACTAGCATTATTAAAGTAGGAATTATTGAGATACAATCAGAATTTGGTATCTGAGTAATGTATCACTGCTCACAATAGCCAAGTTATGTAACTAGCCTAGGAGCCAATCAACAGTGAATAGACAAAGAAAATGTGGTCTGCATACAGGAAAGTATTAGTCAAGTCTCAAGAAGAATAAAATTATGTCACTTGCAGGTAAATGGACAGAACAAGAGATCATTCTGTTAAGCAAAATTATCCAAACTCAAAAAGTCAAAATGTTATGTTTTTCTCTCACATATAGAATCTAGATTTCTTTTTGAGGACATGAATGAAGAAGGAAAAGTATTTGGGAAGAGGAAGGGGATGAGGGAGGGGGATACAAGGGAGGATAATAGAACGAATAAGCTTAAAATACTTTATTTACATATATGGAAATGTCACAGAGTGACCCACTGTTTTCTATAATTAACATATACCCATGAAAGATGAATGAGAATGTTGGAATCTGAAAAAGAACATTTTAAGAGGGCTGCATAATCACACGTTTCTTCCTGAATGTTGGAAGTTGTTCCCTCTCTCCTTCTATCTAACCACAAGTACACACCTCAAAGAGTCAGGGAGCAGATACCTGCTAAACTTCAGATATGAGAAAGACAAATGTGACTCTCCTTGTCTCCTCGCCAAAGGAGGAGAAGAATTACTTCCACAGCACACCTGCTCTTCCCAGAACTGGCTGCCCCACTGCAGGATTCACTACAGACCTGCCCTCCTAGCTGTACATGGGAATGTGAGACAGTAGGAAGGCAGCAGCTGCTTGCTTTTCTCCTTGGGGAATGAAGTCTGAGACAGATGGGAAGATGCAGAGCACCACAGTTCCCATTCTCGACAGAGGACATACCCATTCCTGGTATCTTAGTTCCCAAAACCACCTTCTATGGTTTCAAGTAGATAGAGACACTTGAGCCTGACCCACCTACTGATACTGCTTCATCAGGAAGACATACGATGTGGTAGAAATGTCAATTGCCACCCAACCACGGAGAGGGTCCCCAAGCTGAGTGCACAAACACCGAGTTAAAAGTCTTTACAAGCCCTTGTCTGTCCACAGTGTCCAATGAAAGAAATGGAAAATGAGGGTTCAGTCCCCAGAACTCCTCATCTCCACCTTCCTCCTCAGCCTCTTACAAATCAGTTCCCTCCTCTTTACTGTCTGCCTGTCCTCCTAGTGAGACAGGTCACCAGGCATCCAGGGCCTGCAGGTGGGCTATGTGAACATACTCAGAAGACTAAGAGGGACTGGCTGTCCTTAGCTGGTTTCCTTTCTGACCAGGGGAGGAAGAATAGATGGCCCCACTGGGTATGACTCGAGCAAACCAAAGGGGACAAATTCTGTAGTAAAGAGAAGAGCAGCTGGCCCGTTGAGGTCTGGAGAAGCACCTGAGCCTTGGCATCTAACACGTGGGACCTTACAGCATTCCGTGCTTCTGACGTCACAAGTTCAAGCCTGCTCTTTTCTTCTTCTTATGGCTTTTTACTTTGAGGCAATTGCTGATTCATATGTGCTGTGGCAAACATATAGAAAGACCCTTGCTCCACTTACTCAGTTTCCCCAATGGTGTCATCTTGAAAGATGCTGCTGCTACCTCATCACAACCAGGATATTGATGTCGTCTACCAACATGTGTTCTCGCATCAGCAATTTAACCCTTTGAAAAAGTAGCAAGTCTATAAGCCTGCCTCAGGCTGGCTAGTCAGGGTGGTATGATACACACCAAGGAACAGGAGGCCTTGTTGGCTGAGAGAGGAGCAGGAGGCTCTGGAGAGTCCACTGAGTCACGGGTTCCTTGTATTGATGCACACTCTCACTAACTGACAGCACTTACACTGCAGGAAGATCCAAGCACTTTGCCTCAGCTTAGGATTTCCTAAAATTAAGATGATAGAGTGTATTGAGGGGTATACACCCATCATGAGGATGCAGAGCAGAAAGTTCGTGCTTCCAAACTGGATGACTTGAGTAGAGAGCAAAATGCCCACCATGCAGTGGGAGAAGTAGAGGGTGAGGAACGATAGAATGGACAGCATGGCACTGATGTGGGCATGCCTGCCGGGCTTCCTGCTGCCTGTCGAGATGGTTCTCATCTTCCGACTGTGTTTCCACAGGGAGAAAATCAAGAGCAGAACAGCAACAAGAAATATGAGGAAGGGCAGCATGAGTCCGAAGGCCGAAAAGGAGGATGGTAGGGCATACATTTCTTTGAGGTGGGTTACATTTTGGGAGAAAATGTTGATAAAGGGTTGTATGTAAGCTGACGAGACATTCTTACTGTAGATGCTGGCAGTGACAGTCGCATACAGCACAGACCCCAGGATCAGCCATGGCACCAACCTGAATATTTTCATCTTCAGCCACAAGAAGAGGGGGTGAGGGATGGTGGCAATCTTGGTACAGTAGAAGACACCAAGCCACGTGGCAAACCAAAGATTCAACTCATTTATAAACATGATAAATATAGCATTATCAGTAAACACAGAGGAGTTCACTAAGAAGAGTGCAACCAGTAGGCCCGAAAAGACGCACAGCTGCAAAATAATTCTAGAAGTCACCAGGCAAGAAAGAAGCAGATCAAATGGGGCTATTTTCCTCTGCCTGATGAAGTCAATGCCATTCACGACCAAAATGAGGCCGTTTGCCAACAGCCCAGTGAAAACCTGCAGCACCGCAGCGAGAAGGTGGAACACATTGTGAGTTTCCAGCATTTTTTAAGAAAAGAAAATCAGGGGCTTCTTTAAATAGTACCTGGAGTTCTGCACAACTTCAAGCATTCGTACTTTCTTCCAGCTGGATCAGGACCCCTGAGGAGAACAAGATGCTCACAGAGAAGACAATGGAAAGGGGGTGGAGCTCATTGTCTATACCACTGCTTGTGTAAAACAGTCAAATTAGAAAGAGACACCCTAAGGACAGTTTGCATCTTAGCAATGCCTTTTGCATATTGCAGGTCTGTTTGGGTTTCAAAGTCATCACAGGCAAATGGTAGAACCAGATACCTTCAGGTGGCTGCTGCGGAGCTCTTCCATAGGGTACCAGTCCTTCACCTCTATCATGACTAGTTCCACCTAGTACGAGTCCACACTGCTACTGATGCATTCCTCAGGGAGCATTTCAAACCATCACTTCTGCTGTGGAGGTGTCATAGGACCAGGAATGGAAGACTCCAGAAAGGTAGTTCTCCAGCCTGCAAAACCCAAGCCATTCAGGAGTATCTATTCAACATTGCTCAATAAGAAATCACACATGATAAAACACAGCATGCCCCAATACATCAAAGCAGAGTAGGAGCTAAGAAGGTGACGCAGCCAGTAAAGTGCTTTCTGGGAAACCACCAGAACTCACATTACAAAACAAAGCCAGCTGTGAAGGTCCATACATGTAACTCTAGGACTGGGGAGGCAAGGACAGGCAGTTCCTTGGGGCTCAATGGCCAACCAGACTAGTCAAATCTTACAAAATAAGGTGAACATCCTGAGGAATGACACTCAAGGCTGAACTCTGATTTCCACAAATGTATGTACTATATACACACAGGAACTTGCACACACACATACAAGATAAGCTAAGGAATACAGCTTAGATGTTTGTGTAGACACTGGGTCAAAGCCTAAAGGAAGGTCATATGTGACAAAACGAAGTCACGTACAGTTCACACCAGTCACCAGTCTTCAGTTGCTGATCATCCAGAAGTTAAGGCCTTTTGTCTGTTATTTATTCCAAAACAATGTAAATCTTACAACATGAGCTACTAGTTCTAGAGGAAAAGCAAAGCACAACAGTTCACGATTCACTATGCTACAATAACTGCCTAACAGATTATAGAAAATTTAATTAGTAGTTTTCATGCATATAATGTGTCACATGTTGTGCTAAGCCTGATTTTTAAAATTTTTAACCATATTGACTTTTTTTGGTCTTTTTGAAACAGGGTCTCCCTGTAGCCCCAGCTGTTGGAACTCAATATGTAGACCAGGCTGGCCTTGAACTCACAGAGATGCGCCTGCCTCTGCCTCCCGAGTGCTGGGATTAAAGGCATGTGCCACCACGCCCATATTGACATTTCGAACTGGAAAATTCTTCTATCTGGTGTGGAGAAGGAGGTCCTGTGCAATGTAGAACATCGATCCCAGCCCTGACTCTACCTACTAGATGCTACCAGCACCCCTGTCCTCAGCATGTGACATTCAAATATTCACAGACATTACCAAATGCCCTTAGTGGGGCAATCGCGCCTGACTGAGAACCAACCGCCCTACTGAAGGGCAGTACAATGGATTTTCTGTCTAGATGACTTTCAGAGACGAAAGCCATAGTGAATCCTGTGTTTAATGTGACATAAAACTAAGTTCTCTAGACAAGTCCTCACCAGAGTGTTGGGGGGTACTTTTAAAGGTTGGGGAAATGGAAACTTCCAACTTAGCAGCTGATCACAAGGTGCTCACCAGGTCCTGCAGCAAGGCTTGTGTCTTTATGGATGCGTGTAACGTCATCTAGAAGAGCCAGAAAGAGTGCTTAGCCTGAACGTTTTATAGAGAAGAAGGGGAAGGATGAGAAAAGCGGGCAGTCACTTTCACACGGCATACGCGTTCTTGTGAATTTCAAACACAGTCCCACCACATGTGAGATGTAGGGAACTGGCCCGGACGTCTTCAAGCAGGTATCAGGGAGGCAGTTTGGGAATGGTTGCCATCAAGCAGATCCAAATTCAGATACAATGATAGGACAAGACTCGTTCTTTTTCCTCTGGTGGAAGGAAGCACTCCAAATCCTGTTACCTCACATTATGGGGACTGGGAAAGCAAAAGTGGAGGAGCATCCATCTATGAAACGACGAAGCCAAGATCGCTCAAAACCGTTACCTCACGGACTTCCTCATTTTTCAGTCAAGCTTTCTGCCAGTGTTCCTGGCACTTCAGTTGCAAATAGGACTTACTTCCTTCTGTGTCCCACGAGACTCCTCACTCTGGCAGCAGGTATCATTCACTCATTCCTCCATTCATTCTAGGCCTGCCATGCGGTGTGCTTGTTAAGGAAGCAGAACTCAATTATATACCAGAGGAAGAGTAGCAAATCACTTTGCAAATGTCTGTTCTGTCTCTTTCTGTTTCTCTGTCTCTCTCTCTGTCTCTCTCTGTCTCTGTCTCTCTCTATCCCCCCCCACAAGGTTATGACACCAGCATTAGTTCACCATTATCTGTTCCAGAATTGCCATGACATGGCATGAGCTGTGTGTGTGCCCAGCACGGGCTGTACAGCTCACTATTGCAACGCAGATCACTAGCAGGGACAAGCGAAGAGAAAGATCCCAGAACAGCAATATAATCTTTCAGCACTGATAGAAAATCAGAAAAGACAATGCACAGCCCACCTATTTATTAGCATCCTGTTTATCTTTTGGATTCCAGCTTCTTAAGGAGCTGTTCCAGTCTCAGATACGCCACTGCAACTTTAGCTAGACCCAATTTGAGGAGCTGAGGCAAATCCTCACAGAAAAGTTTGTCATGTGGAGCAGTTCTCTCCTGATGTGAGGATTCCATGGAGAAAAAAAATAGAATTCATAAGGCCTAAGCTGCAGCTTTTCCATTAAGCATTTTTCCCTCTATCTCTTCAGGGAGCATAAAGCCTCCTGAAGGAAGGTTACTCCAAGACAAGGGCTGCTGTCAGCTCCTGTGAGAATGGCATGCCTTTTAATGTTAGTGTATGTGTTCGTTTATGTACAAGTGAGCATGTGTGTGCATGTACATGTGTGTGAACATGCATGTAGAAGTCAGAGGTCAGCATCAGGCACTGTTTCTCAGGATACTACCCACCTTGTTCTCTGAGAGTCTATCACCCCCGCCAGAACTTCTCTTTACATTATTTATTGGTCATTCTGAGGACTGACCTCAGGGCCTTGTTCACAGGCAAAGGCTCCACCAATGAGTTACACCTCCATGTCTGGAACTCCTTAGACTGAGGGATGGTGGAACAGAGTATGCTCAGAAGGCAGCAATTTGGGGGAAAGACTCATTTAGCTCTGGGGAGCTGCCTTTCTGGGTTCAGAGAAGATACTCATGGTCAATGGTCTCCAGCCCATCTCTTAGGATCCTACTGAGTCACTCCGGTAGCTATGGACACTGGGCACACTGTTGTACTGGGCTAATATTTTAATGATTAATGAAACAAATCAAACAAAGAAAAACTGATCTGAAGGAGAGAGCCCTTTTAGGTCTTCCAGGCAGTTATTTTTAATGCAAAGGACATGGAAAATTCCTGGCTCTGAGATGAAAACTGAACGTCTGGCTTCACCTGTCAGTCAGTGGCTCAGAACGTTGACAGTTTTACATGGACAAATAGCTTGGAACAGATGGAGCAGGACCCAACGTGGAGAAATTCACATGATCATTACCCCATATTACCCTGATTAAATCTGTTCACCCGTACTCATCTGTAATGAGCACTCATTAAAGGAGACAGCACTAAAGATTCTTGAGGTAACTGACAGGCGGAAAGAGTTGCTTATTTATATTCAAATCATTTAGCTCCTCAAAAGGAACTATGATCCTTTTCACAGGCAGCTGGATTGATGCTGGCAGGCTTTTCAGCAGGTAAAGACTGCATGTTCGTTTTTCCTCCTTTCCAGACTTTTACATTGATGGTGAGCAATAGTTTTAATACCTTTCCCAAATGGGTCTTCCCATTTCATTGTCGGGGGAACAATTTTGCTTTAACAAAAAACATGTGCACATATTAACATTATTGTATATTTAATAAGAGCCATCAAATAAGAAAGAAAGGTCCTCCAAAGTCCAATGCACGCATCCTTTCTAATTTTCCCTGGATCAGAGCTCAGCCCATGTAATGTAGATACAAAATTTATGCACAACACTGTGGTTGAAAACACCACGCTCTTTGAGACTAATCATTCTTTAAGTCCACGTATTTTCACCCTCTACTTGTATGTATAGTTGATCTTTGGTACGAAGATTTTTTCTTTAATACTCCAGTCACTTCCAAATACTTGTGCCCTCCTCTCTATTTATCCTCTTAATACACATCTGAGTTTTTCCTCATTCCATTCAGTGTTGTGAAGTTTAGTCACACTGGAGCAAACAGAATAAAAGAGTAATATAAGACATGGAATTTAAGTCTTACATGCAGAGAACTCAAAATCTTTATAAACAAGAATTCCGTGTTAGCTACAATGAGGAGACAGAACCCTCTGGAGGCACTTGGGGGATTGGAAGAGACTTAATGTCGGAGCGATGTTGCCTTCAGCTCGCTGCCCTGGAATATTCCAAGTTACTGCTGTTTCTCAGCCCCCCAACCCTCCCTCTGTCCATCTCTTGGTCCCCTCTCTTTCCTTCCCTCCCAAGTCTTGTTCTTCCCTCCCTCCCCTTCCTGCTACCTCCTCCTTCTCTCCCTCCTAACCGCCTTCCTTCTTTCCTTTCCCCTCACTCCTTTGCTCCCTTCTTCCCTCCTCCTTCATCCCTCCTCTCCTCCTCCTCGCTTTCTCTTCCTTCCCATACTTTAACACATTCTCATGGTGTGTAGTGGGGACAAAGCTCTATTCTGGGCAAAAATACGCAGTCAGCTTGAAAATTGCATTACAGTGGGGCAGGCAAGAGTTAAAGGAGAGAAAAACTAAACATTGACTCCAGGAATGTAGGAAGAAACATTTGCATCTATTCAGGGAGGACTGACTCTTCCAGAATGAAGATCATAA